ATCATCCTTGCACCGTTGCCTAACTTCACTGAGTGTCTAAACTGCTCATCCATCTCCATGAACCAATCCTTGTTTCCTGACATGTGATTAGAACATCCTGAGTCGAGGAACCAAACACCTTCTCCCTTCGCATTCTTGTTCCCAACGTAAGCCATCAGTAGAAGCTCTTCCTCCTCATCCAACTCAGCATAATTGGCACCCTTCTCCCAATTAGGGCACTCATTTTGAAAATGCCCTAGCTTATGGCATTTGTAGCACTCTACCGTGGCTTTGTTGAAGCTCTGTCTTCCTCTACCACGTCCACCTCTTCCAGCTCCTCGTCCCCTTCCTCTTCCTGTTCTGTCTTCATGGGTGACCTTGAGAACTTGCTCTTCTTCACCTTGACTCTTCATTCTTTGCTCATGCACAAGAAGGCTGCTTTGAAGTTCGTCGATGGTCATCGTAGTCATGTTGTTGGACTCCTCAATCGAACATACTACGTAGTTGAACTTAGAAATCATCGATCGAAGAATCTTTTCCGTGATCATTGTTTCACTCATATTCTCTCCATGAGCCTTCATTTTATTGGCTATGGATAAAACACGAGCAAAGTAGACATTCACCGATTCTCCTTCCTTCATGCGAAGAACTTCAAAATCACAACGTAACGACTGCAGTTGTGCCCTCTTAACCCGTGTTGAACCTTGAAACTTTTGCTTCATGGAGTCCTAGATTGCCTTTGAAGAACTTCTGTCAAGAATGGTCTCAAGCACATCTCGTTCGATTGCTTGATAGAGAAGGTTTTTTGCCTTCAAGTCCTTCAGTTTGTTTGCTTCCTTCCGTTGAGCATCGATAGGTTGAGTTTTTTCTGCCACCACTGAGGAGAAAGACCGTGCTTCCCCTGCGACATCCACCATGACGCCGCGATTTACAACGTTCCAATACTCCTTGGAACGAAGCAGATTCTCCATCAGCTCAGCCCAATGATCATAGTGCCCCACAAACTTAGGCACATAGGTGCTGCTTCCTTCTGCCATTTCAAGAGAACTCTCAATCTCTCGTTTCACTCTTGTACTCACAGTCAGGCCCCGTTAAGAGCTCTGATACCAATTGTTGAAATAGCAAAGACCTAGCTCTACAAAACCGTAAAGATCGTGAATGATCGATATTTCATTAACAGAACATCTTTGGCTTAAATAGCCATTACAACTGAAAAACAAATTAAAAACAAATCACGTCTCCACATCCCGAAGACTGTGGCCACTAAACAAGTGTGACTTGGTCATACTTGACCAAATCAACTCCTAACATAAATGAACTACTAGCTCCTGAAAGATAGGAGCTTATTCAACCACCACCGTGACCCTAACAGTCTATGGACATCCTGGTTCCCTTCGGAGGTATTGATGTCTTCAGACATATAGTTGCTATCGGAATGTCTTAGGACATATGGTTGCCTTCAGATTATTTTGTGTTCTCAAGCTGAGTATATCTCCATGAGTCCTGCGAGGGGAATTGATGGATTTGTCTACGCACGTATGACATTGCCCCACGAGTATCGAGGACGCCCGAACCCTGTGGTGCGAGGATTTGCATTCTCAGGTTGAGTGTATTTTCTTGAGTTCTACGAGGAATGCGTCTCATGCCGACCATGGGTCCCCTCAGTTCTGCGAGGAATGCGTCTCAGACTGACCTCGTGTCTCTCGAGTTATGCGAGGATATATCAGTACTTGAAATTGACTGTATATTATTGAAATTGATGGATTATGTTTGAGGTACATCTATGTGGAGATTAGTGCAGTACCAACGTGTGGTACAGTTAACATGATATTATTCACTACCTAACTTGTCTACACAGGGTTGGCCAGGATCCTTAGCCACCTACCCAACTTGTCTACACAGGCGGTTAGCTAGTTTCCCCTTCCCCTGTTGCCTTCGGATTTAATGGTGTTCCCATATACCCCTTGGTGGGTGATTACAAAATATATGTACTATGTGGATGAATGCAGGTATGGCTTTCAGGTAAAAAGTTTGGTTATGAAAGTATTTGGATGTACAATGATAAACTAATTGAACAGTTAGGTACATCATCTAATGGCATGATATTCAATTATATAGCTTGTGGAGACCAAGATAAAGTATGATTCCAGAATTTCTTTGTTGGTTTCATTTTGAATATTTCTGCACTATCTTAATTGTGATTCAGGGTAGAAAGAACTACATGTGCCTTGATCCCTCATTAAGGGTACTTAGGCAACCTAGGCTAACCTAGGTGTAGCCGCAAGTTTATGTTTGGTTTGTTATGTTATGATCAGTTTTGTAAGTTGCATATGCTGAACACTTAGGAAATTATTTGAGTTTGCTGTGCAGGTAGATTTTTGGGTTTTGAGCCTTTTTCAAGGGAGACTCTGCCAGTTTTTCGGTAAAAGTCAAACCCTAAAGTAGTTTCTGGATTAGGGCAAGAATATTTTGGTCATTCGTGCCTGACACCTACTAGGTGTTGGACACGCACGGTGTTCGACCTGAAGCTTGCTGCACCATTCTGGGAAGAACTAGCTGATCTCATCAAGGCGGTTTATGTCATATATTTTGGTGTAAGCAGTAGCTACATAACACAAATAAACTTAAGTGAGATTAATTTCAAATATCATTGATTCAGGTCTTAGAATCAAATGATACCTCCCACTATTTTTGGAAAATTCCACAAGCGGAATCCAAGAACCTCCGTTGTAGTTCTTAGTGGGAATGGGAGGCTCCCTGTCATGAGGATCACCTCAACACGTCTGAAATTTTGACAATCCACTACAAGAAAAAATCCATTTTGCGACCAAATTTTTGGCGACAAACTAGATTTGGTCGCCAAAAGACACTCCTAGGCGACGAAATAATGTAATTTGGTCGCCAAAGGTTTCGTCAGATGGAGTCATATTGTAAAATTTCAGTCAACCAATTAGCGTCCAAATATTATTCATGGGCGACGAACTGTTTTGGTGGCTAGGTGAAAATTTCACGACCAAATGCGTAGTTGGTCGCCATTTTCTTAATGGCGCGCGCGCGAAAATGTGAACTGCAAAGTGACGGAAATATTTGGTCGCTAAGTTGGCCTCCAAAGTAAAATTCGCGCTTAATAATTTCATGGGCTTTGGCGACCCACATATTTTGGTCACGATGAGGGATCCTATGATTTTAAAGTATTGAAAAACGACGTCGTTTTAGTGATTTGAGTTTTTTTTTTATTGAGACTATAACTTTAAAAACATAATAATAATAAGAAAAGAAAAAACTCCTTCCCAACTCGTCACTTCCCGTTGCGTTTCCCATCCCATTCCTTCCTTACAAACCCCCCCCCCCCCCCCCNNNNCCCTTCCTCTCTCTCTCCCCCTGTTGGGGTTTTTTTTCCTTTTCTCACGCACTTCCCTTTGCTTTGCTTTCTATTTTGGTTCTGGCCCAAATCTCTCCTTGCCCTCTTTTCTACAGCATCTGTTGGCTGATCTTGGTGGGTTTGTGGTTTTCTGGTGCTCCATCGGCAGTCTGCTCGGTGTTGGCTTTGATTTTGGTGCTCCTGTTTAGATCTACTCGCCCCCGTGGGCTGCCCATCGGCCTGGTCGTTTTGGTTATTCTCTGCTCTTCCTGGAGTTATAGAGCTTGCGTGCGGATCTTTATCTTTGCAGTTTTCTTGTTGGATTTTGTGCTTCAACTCGTTTGAGTGTGTTGCTTGTTACAGTCCCTTCTTGTTTGAGTGTGTTGCTCGTTTGAGTGGATCTTTATCTTTATCTTTGCTGTTTTCTTATTGGATTTTGTTCTCTCTAGCCGTCTGTGGCCATGTCTGGAGTCAAGGGCGGAACTAAAGAGGGGCTTGGCTGGGCCATAGCCTAGTGCTGATTTTCATCCTATCCTTAAATGTGTTAACAAATGCACTACAAATAAATATTAGCCCACAACTTAGCCAATCATATTACATTGTTTTTTGTCTAATCACCCAAGGAACAAGACCAGACAAAAAAGATTTGTAAAAAACATATTTCATGGCTGACATAAGGATTAAAATAAGGAAAATCACATTCCTTTTGTAAGCCCCATTACTCCATGTCTCCTGCGGGCTGCAACTCCCAAGCTTCTAGTATATTTTTGTGGCTGTAGCTCCCAAGCTTCCGGTGTATTCTTCTCCTTATTTCCTTCTCTCCTCTCTGTTTCTCTCCTCTTTTTTCTTTTTTCTTTTTTTTTTTCTTCTTTTTCCTCTCATCTGATAGCTCAAAATAAATTAACCGGCTCTGCTCTCCGCCAATTTTCTTCTTCCTCCTTCTTTTAGTGTGGTTTCTCTGTGGCCAATTTGTCTGGAACGACACTAGCAACCTTTTTTTGGTTTCACCCCAAAAACCAGAGGTCTTCGAAACAGAGAAATAGAGGCAAAGATAACATCACTGGTTGGTGTTAGAAAACAACTCTACTTCTCTCAATTTTGTTTTTTTTTGGGGGGGGGTGGAGTTTGGTCGTACTTGTGTTAGTGTTTGGAAAAAGATGAACTTGTTCGATTTCATTATTTTTTTTGGGTTTCTAAATTTGCTGTTTTTTCTAACTTTATGGTGTCTAACAGAGTTCGTTTTATGTTTTGGTTTCAGTTTGAAATACTTGCTTAAAAGGCTACATTTTCTTAAGAGGTATGGATTGTTAACATTCTCGTTTTTTGCTTAAGAGGTATATTTGCTTCAAAATCTTCTTACCATTATCTACTTGAAATTGTTTGCAACTATGTATATGTATAATAGTTTGATTAGTGATCTGCCATGAAACTATTGAAATGCTTGAAGTTAGGCATTGTCCTAAAAATTTTGTTATATATCATTTTACAATTGAAACTTTTTGGTGTGTATATAGTGCAAGATGAACAGGGACTGGGTAAATAATAAAAACAGGTTAAGCAATCAGTATATAAGGCTGGTATTGAGTCATTTATGGAAGTTGCAAGTCATCATATGAATGAGAAAAATGAGACTCCATGTCCGTGCATGAAGTGCCAAAATATGAATCGTCATTCTCTTCCAATTGTCAAAGCACACTTATGGAGGTATGGCATGTCAGTGGTTTATCACACATGGATATATCATGGGGAACAATTTGGGATACAAAGACAAGATTCACCTCCTACAACTACTCAAGAGGCACCTCGACTCGATGATTATACATTTAATATTTTAAATGATGCTTTCCCTCGAGATATTGACATAGATGAAGATTTGGTAGAGGAAGATGACATGTTGGGAGGTACTGAAGATGTGGGGGATGATATGACCAATATGCATTGGGTTGAAACTGATAAGTATGAGAAATTGGTAGCTGAAGCTGAGCGAGAATTGTTTCCTGGTTGCAATGCATCAGTTTTGACAGCAATGGTACAATTCATGCATGCAAAGGTACTTAATCATTGGAGTAACAAGTCATTTGATACAATGTTAGAAATACTTAGTGATATTTCTCCTAAACCTCATAACATTCCTCCATCGTTCTATGCTGCTAATAAGATGTTGAAAGATTTGGGTTTGGGCCATGAAAAAATCGATGCATGTGTGTATGATTGTGCTTTGTTTTACAAAGAGCATGAAGGGAAAGATAAATGTCCAGTGTGTGATGAGCCGAGGTATAAGCCTAGTACTAGTAAAAAGAAAAGCAAGGTACCCCAAAAAGTGTTGCGCTACATTCCTCTGAAGCCAAGATTACAAAGATTGTTTATGTCAAATCATACAGCTGGTCACATGAGGTGGCATAAGGATAAAAAGGTTGATGAGGAAGGTATTATGAGGCATCCAGCCGATTCCATTGCATGGAAGGAGTTTGACAAGATGTACCCTCAGTTTGCTGAAGATCCACGAAATATTAGGTTAGGGCTTGCAACGGACGGGTTTAACCCATTCGGGAATATGAGCACATCTTATAGTATGTGGCCTGTGATGGTGGTTCCATACAATCTACCACCTTGGATGTGTATGAAAGAACAATATTCGATACTGAGTTTGCTTATTCCAGGCCCTAAAGCACCAGGCAAGGAACTTGATGTGTATTTGCGTCCGTTAATTGATGAGCTAAAGGAGTTGTGGGAACAAGGTGTCCAAACTTATGATAAGCTTTCTAATACTATATTTAACATGCGTGCAGCTGTAATATGGACAATCAACGACTTTCCTGCTTATGGAAATTTATCTTGTTGGAGTACAAAAGGTTATAAGGCATGTCCGGTATGCCTTGAGGATACAACGTCTACGAAGTTGAGAAATAAAATTTGTTATATGGGGCACCGTCGCTACTTAAAAAAGAATCACCCATGGCGTAAAGATTGTCAAAATTTTGATGGAAGCATTGAGATGAGGGATCCCCCTAGAGAATTCTCTGGTGAAGACATTTTGCTTCAGTTGAACCAACTTATGCAGCGTAAGGTTGGTAAACACCCTGATAATTTGGACAGAAAGAGAAAGCGGACACCTATGGAGTTAAATTGGACAAATAAGAGCATTTTCTTCGAATTAGAGTATTGGTCCAAGCTGAAAATCAGACATAACTTGGATGTAATGCATATTGAGAAGAATATATGCGATAACATTGTTGGGACATTGTTGAACATAGAAGGAAAAACAAAAGACACACCCAATGCACGCTTGGATTTGAAAGACATGAATATAAGAACGAATCTGCATTTAGATAAAGATGAAAATGGAAAGATAAAGAAGTATCTTGCAGAATATACATTAGAACCAGCTGATCGTCGAGCGTTTTGTGAATTCTTAAAATTTATTAAATTTCCAGATGGGTATGCAGCCAATATATCACGAAATGTCAAAAATGGGAAGATCTCAGGTTTGAAGACTCATGATTGTCACGTTCTATTGCAACGAATTTTACCTGTTGGAATCCGACCATACCTAAGAAAAGAAGTATGTGCACCACTTGTAGAATTGTCAAGTTTTTTCCAACAAATTTGTGCAAAGACGTTGAATGTTGTAGATCTGGACAGGTTAGAGGTTGACATTGTTTTAATTCTCTGCAAGCTTGAGAAAATCTTTCCGCCAGCGTTCTTTGATGTCATGGTTCATTTGGCTTATCATTTACCACGTGAGGCAAAACTTGGGGGACCAATAGGGTATCGATGGATGTACCCAATAGAGAGGTAAATATTATTCATCAAGTAGTCGTATTTTTTAATTGATTCACTTTGACATGTATTTGTAGATACTAATATGAAATAATTCACAGGATGTTGGGGAAGTTAAAGGGCTATGTATGCAATAGAGCTCGTCCAGAGGGTTCAATTATTGAGGGATACATTGCTAATGAAGCACTAACTTTTTGTTCAATGTACTTACGTAATGTAGAGACATAATAGTACAGGCTTGGTCTCTAGTCTTAGAGTGGAGAAATAATGTAACTTGGGTTTACCAAGGACAAGATATATGGAGCTTGGCCTCCAGTCTTTCAGTGGAGTGTTCTTCACTTGTTTATGTATACTATTTTTGGATATGTTATGTGTACTTGAATGACGAGTATGCTTGTGTACTTTTGAATGGGAGAAATTTTAATTCGTGTCATTTTCTATTCATCTATTTACCTAAATTTATTGTTTTTTGGAAATTACAATATGTTAATGAACAAAAGGTTAATATTATCACAAAACAAAGGCAAATATAATAATTAAACACACTTAAAATAAACATTTTAGCGACCAACTAAGTAAGCTTTAGCGACCAAATCCGGTAGTCACTAGAACCTATAGGCGACGAACCAATTTAATTGGTCGCCCACTCCTTCCTCAGTTCGCGGCAAATTTTGGCATTTTCGTGGGAACCCTTCTGCATACGCGACCAACTAATTACTGTTAGGCGACCAAATTATTTGGTCGCCTAAAGATTTTGGCGACGGAAACAATGTTTCATCGCCTGATACTTTTAGCCAAGATCCTTAGGCGACCAACATAGCGACGAACTAATGTCGTCGCCAAAAGAAGTTGGCGACGAACCAATTTAATTGGTCGCCCAATCCTTCCTCAGTTTGCGGCAAATTTTGGCATTTTCGCGGGAACCCTTCTTTATAGGCGACCAATTAATTACTGTTAGGCGACGAAATAATTTGGTCGCGTAAATAGTTTGGCGACGAAAACAAAGTTTCATCGCCTGATACTTTCAGCGAAGAGCCTTAGGCGACCAACAAGGCGACGAAATAAGTTCGTCACCAAAACATTTTGGCGACGAACCTTAACCTTTTAGCGACCAAAGATGGTGGTCGGCAAAATGGTTTTTTCTTGTAGTGATCCTTTCTGACAAGGAGAGACTACACAGTTACCTATTCACATTGTTAATGTGATTTCCCATCATCTTTGGCCTCTAAGAAATGATGCCCCAATGTCTTGGTGACACCATTCATAATTTAAGTCGTACCCACCATACCTTGTGTAAAGGGGTAACTAAAGCATATCCTCATCATATCTGATTATTGGATTATACCTGTCATTGCCTTTTCCCACAAACATGGAATATGTTTTTGTGAACTCAATCAAGCACCAGTCACTTACATGAGTCCCAATGTCCCGGTGACACCGTAATGATTAAAGCCCTCTAGCAGTGAGTTACCTATGGTGGGAGGCCTTGCTTTCCAAAGTAATGACTTAGGGCTGTGTATTCAATTCTAACTTTTAAAGACTTTTAATGAGTTTAAAAGTCTGGAGGTATTCAACTATGACTTTTAAATAGTCTTTAAAAGTTTAGTTGTATTCAATTGTGATTTAAAAAAGTCTTTACAAGTTTTGGTATCCAAAACATTAATGACTTTTGAAAACTTTGTTAAATGAATGACTTTTCAATACTTTTAAGCCTAATTCTTAACACCAAAAGTTTTGCTAATTTACCCAAGACTTTATCAATGAATTTGATCATGCTGCAGCTTTGGCCATTGTGAGGGTGTGCCACCATGTTTGGGTCTCTAGACCCCCTTCCTCTTTGGTATGTGTACTATCAAGAGATGGCCTACTACACTGCCAATTTGATTTTGTTTTTGGCTTCCATTATCTGTCTTGGAAATTGTTATGATGATGAGCCGTTTCTTGCTTGTTTTTTTCTTTTCAATGCTTGAAACAATTGCTACGTACTAAGAGCTATGGTGGGACTACATTGGTTTCTTCCATAAATTTTGTTTGCCTCTATTTGCAATTTTTAAGGCCTATCTATAGGAACAGATGATTTTGTTACAAACCCACATTCCCCAACAGCAATTTAGCTCTTAGCATCCTGGGGTTTACAGCTAACCCCACATTCTAGTGTTGTTATTTGGCTTGGCTCTATATCACCATGCCACTTTACTGGTATATCTCCCACCCAAATAGAGTATGCTTCTAGAAGGTCTTAAGGATCTCAACTTCGTTCCAGTAATCGGATAATCTGTCCCTTCTTCCCCAAGACCCAGCTCTTCAAACTAAACTAATTAAATCCATAATATTGATGGCACACCTTATATTTGAGTTGCATGCAATAGCAGCAACCTTATTTTCTCCATACTTGACATTGTTCTCAGATGAAAAGTTCTTAGACATGGAAAAATATTTCTTTCCTTTTACACAATTGTATCCAATTTTTTTTTTTTTTGGCTACTTGTTCCATATGCGGACTAGTTAATTCACCATACAAAACATAAATATTAGAAGCAATTTCTTTTTTTGTTATACTACTCTATGATAAATATTAAAAAGATAAATACCATTGATAAATAAATATTTTTAAAAAGTAGATAAAAGTATGTAAAACTCTATGATAAAAGTACATAAAAACACATTACTTAACTTTATAAAGTATGTAAAAGTCATTAAGAATCTGTCAACTCTATAAAAATCACTTACTTACAAAAAGTCTTTAAAAGTTAGAATTAGTTTTGTTTTTGAGGGAGTTTCTTTGTCTGCATTTAATCATTGTATTAAATAGGAACATTGGTCCTAGAATTACTATTATTCGAACATACTTTAGTAGCATGTGATACTCCCACTATTTATTTTGAAAGAACAAATCATTTTTCATAAAACACTTTTATTTAAAAATGTGGAAGTATTCATTATTACTACAAGTTCTTTTGCAATCCTTGTTGGTTAAATAGTAGCCTTAGGCTCTTGGGATGATTATGAACTCTAGTGTGATCCAACATGAACTAATGTGTTGGATCTAGGTCTAGATAGGTGATTGATTCGTTTTAATTACACGTTGACGTTTATACATACAAGGTTGATGGGCGTTGGACCTAATCATTAAGCCTTCAGGTTCTCCTTCTTCTTCATTCTTCTCCTAATGCTATCCTACTTCTATAATTACATTTAACTCTTGAAAGAATAACTCTAACTCAATGAGTTAGAGGGATTTACATAGGGAGAGAGATAGAAGGTTACATTAGAGTATGAGGGAGAAGAGACATGCATCTTTTTTTCTCTCAAAATTCTATTTTTTATCTTTGACATTCTATGCATTTTTCATCAACATCTTTAACAATAATCTCTTCATTTCGTTTGCATCTTTTTTATTTAGAAGAGAAAAAAAAAAAATAACAAAAACTAATCCTCAGCCAACTTTGTTTTGGTACCCAAATCTCATCTTCTTGTCAATGAAGAATTTGGCATCAATTGCACAAGTTCTCTCTTTGTTTTTTTTAAATTCATCCAATCTTGAGCATGAAGATTTTTGGATGAATGAGAACTGAACTTAATTTCTTGAGAATTTCGTAGACATATACCCAATGACAGAGTTGGTAATAGCTGGTGCAAAGCCAATAGGCCAACTTTTGCCTACTCATATATATGTGGGTTAAGGAAAGTCCCATCTTGCAGTCTGAGTTCGATGTCTTTTTTCCACGTAAATTAGAGTAATTTAGAATTATTTTTTTTAGGTTAATACATTCATGTAAAAATATATATGCAAATACAAAATTAGATATTGTTTAATCTAAAGAGAAAAAAAATTATATTGCAATTTCACATGACCATAACCAATGAAATGACAGACAAATATGTCTCTTTATATCCCCAATAACACAAATGATTAAAACCCCATAAAGCCCCCGCAGTTCTCATGGATATAAAAAACTTCCATGCCACAGATGGTCTGAGATTCCCCTCTTTACATAAGCAAGGAGGCAGCGAAAACACCAACGGCCACAAATCCCGGGACGGAGAACCTATTCGAAACGGCGCCGTTCGGTGCAGGAGCTTCCGAGGGGGATCCCGAGACCGAAGAAGAGGGAGAGGCGGCAGGGGAAGACGATGGGGGAGAAGGTGGAGAGTCTGCGACGGGAGATGTAGAAGGAGCAGCCGAGGGTGGAGTGCCCGAAGGAGAATGTGAAACGCTCAAAGGAGAAGGTGAGGCAGCCGGTGGAGTGCTCAAAGGAGAAGGAGCAGAGGCTTGTTTGGCAGAGAGTGCAGGGGACTTGGCTGGGGAAGATGCAGGGGATTGTGCCCTTGTTGAGGCCACCAAGAGGACAGCCATTAGCATCAAAACGACAGCGCTGGATCGAGCCATTGTAGACGGAGAGAAAAGTGAGGAGGGTTTAAGAAGCAAACTACCAAGCGAAGGATGGGTTTAGGTGAGAAGAGGGAGGGCATTTTATTGGAGTAATTTTTGACCGTGGAGGGTTTGGTAAATAAATGGCCGTTGGATTTTGACGCGGATTTGATGGAGAGCTTGGACGGTGCAGATTTTGTGTTAGAAAATAAACCGTGTTACGTACGGACTTTTGGCCAGAACGCGGTTGTTGTAACTTGTATTGGCTGGTTTTTACTGGCTTATTGTATTGGAATTACTAAATTCAATCCAAGAAGCCAAGTCAGAAAAACCAGTTTGAGTAAGGTTGATCGATTTTCCAGCAAGAGTAATTACATGAATTCTCCAAAGTTTATACTTACAAACTTCAACGTACGTGAGTGTGTGACAGTCACCAATCGGTGTTATTGCAAAGCAATCACAAGAACATATATTGATTGAAAAAAGACTATCAGATGATGGGCAGACTACCCTGTTCTTTGCCAATGAACTAACTTATTCTCCTTCTCCATTGAGCGCTCCACCTAAGGCTGCACCTTCTACTGCGCCTGACCCCGCCTCTCTGCCTTCTCCTCCCTCGCCTTCCATCATCACCCAGTGGCGGAGCTAGAAGCTTGTCTTTCAGGGGGCCAATACTGTAATTATGAGGTTTTATAGCCTTATATATTTCAACTGATATTGCAGCAGGTGTTTAAGAGTTATTGGCTTTTTCATAGAGAGCTTAAAGGGGTCACGGCCACTGCAGGCCTGTATGTGACTCCACCGCACGTCACCTCTCTAGGATTTCTCCCTCTTCGGAGTCTACTTCCACCTTTTGGGGTCTGATATGGTCAATCAGAAAAATGCAAACTTGAAATTTGAGCCTACTCCACTCACTGCATCATGCTTACGTTGGATGAGGGATTAAGGAAATCTCACCGTACCAACTAATTATTAAACCAAATTATCCTATCTTAACACACCATGCAAAGTCCTAAATAACATGTGAGTTTATGATATTAATTCTAGATATCGATTTTTAGTTTTTTTTTTTTTCCAGGAAGATATCGATTTTTAGTTATATATTTGGATATTAATTCTATTTATTTATTTATTTGGGAAATACATAGATCTATTTTTTTAATAAATTATTATTTCAATTATGATTACATGTAACGGCTATATATGATGAATGAGTCAACTTCACCAAATAGTTGAGAATGTACTTTTTCTTAATCGAGAAGAACTTCAAAGAAGGGTCTTCATCCTCCGCATGAGAATGAGAAAGAAGGTTGTCCTTTAAGATGTTACAATAACTGATTTCGCTTTTCTTTTTTCTAACTAACTAACAATGAATGAATCTTGAAGTACAGTAGGATTGCTAAGTTCGTCCTTTTTGGATTGCTAAGTTTGTCCTTTTGGTTTACAAAATGCATGACAATAGGTGAGAGCCACTATACTATAATTCAATCAATTACAATCTTTACTATAATTCCCATAATTTCGTTTTAAATTTTAACTTGGTTCAATTTCACTGTTAATTTCAACAATTATTAAAATACTTAATGTATATGTGGGTAAGGTCAGTTGGTCAAGGCACTCAACCCGATCATTTGCACTGAAGTTTAAATCTCATCCCCTAAATTAGTTTAATTTAGAATATCACTTGTCAAAAAAAAAATTAAACTATTAATGACTTATAAATTAGGAAAGTCGAGAATAAGGGAAAGAATGAATTAGTATGACATCAACTACTGCAATATAGGATTTGTTACCCTTTGATTAGCTTAATTATTGTGCAAGATTGTTAAAGACACTAGAAATCGGTCCCTTGATCTCCTAGAAAGAACAAGTGTGAAACAATATGCATATGATTGAGAAACACACACACAGATATATATCATCCTTTTTTTTCAACAATCCAAACCATCTATTTTTTAAGTCTACATTCATAGATCATCCTTGCAAAAAATTAGACAAATCGGAAATCGTTTCGACATCCAATTTGTGTCCTACAAAACATCAATGAATACGGTGCTTCAAGAAAGTACTAAAATTTCAATAATTCTATTGAGTGATCAAATGATATCGGATTCAAGTGATTTTTTATAGAGATGATCTTTGAGTGAAAGTGAAATACAATACAAAGTAGGCCCTACAAGGGTGTCCCTCAAATAAGCTTATATAAACTAATCGCAATGACACAAGAATTGTTAACTTGGTTGACTCAATATGACCCAGTTCCTCATGTATCTATGATATTCTCACTATAGAAGAAAGAGAAACATTAATTTCCTTCCCTTATATTGGTCCGATCCATATGTACATCTTCATAACTTATCTCGCTCATTTCCTTATATGGTTCTAATCCATTAAGTTCTCGTCAGCATGGCTGTGGGCGATTCGAATCTTCCATTCAAATCAATTGTGAATTAAAACTCATTTCTAATTCTACCTTATGTGAGGACCCAATGACAAAATCCTCAGGGCTTCCACAAGTCATGGTTAATAAGCTAGCAACCCACGTGCCATGACAACCTCAGCTGACGTATAATAGGCGGAGAACCTAGTCAGTTGCAATTGTAGTGTAGTCCTTCTCTAGTACAATACTCTTGATCTCATTAATAAGGTACGGATGTTTCATGTCAACCCACTAATGTGATCTTCCCAATTTCATGTGATTCATACAAATACGATTAGGAATGTCTTCCTTAATCATATCCATTACTTCGGATTGAAGATTCCCGAATCACATCTTTGAGTATTCTCCTTCTTAGACCATTACATAAGACAGAGATCCCTTGTTGTACACTCACATGCCTCCATGAGTAAATTTAAGCCCCTAATGATACATATGAACCTTCCCTAAAAGGAGATTGGTAATTAATGTATCATCAAATGATCAGAGACATACCCACAAGACAACTAGGTTGCCTCAGGTCTAAGGGCTAATCTACATTATTGCAACTATGAGTTCTTGTTTGACATGTTGGCAAAAACTCCATCCAAGAACTCTTAGTTGATCGATTTCAGTGAGCTCATTCTCTATTAAGCACCTACACAATTGTCTTATTGTCTCCACATGAATGACTTGAGACCAATCATCCTCCCAATTGAGCATACATAGTGTGTAATAGTCTTTACAGTTTATCAATGCCCAGTTGATAATCCTATGACTACGAACATTAAGATTTGAAGGTTTAGCTAGGATGATCTCAGGAATCTAACTTCTTTAGATTACATCCTTTTAATCATAATCCTAAGACTCGTTGTTTAGAACATTTTAATTTCTTTGCCCTTATGAATAACCAATATGTATGGGTTATATGAAATATCTCAAAAAGGTTTCATCTCATTATTGGCTTTCAGGGTATATTTTTAACAATTGTGACCAACAAAATAGACGATCACGATGCTTTAAGAACGTACTAAAATGACAACTATGAAATATATATATACATATAGGTGTCGGCTAACTAATGGCCAAAGGCATTAGTTCTACAATGTTAAAAATGGAAGTGCCACACTGAATTGAAACCTCTTAGGTTTTCAATAACACTAGGCCAAAAAAAAAAACTTAGGCTTTCAAAAGCATTTAGCTATTTTCCTTCTTCTTCAAGTCTGTTCACAGGCAATGGCAATTTTCCCCATGAGTAAAGGTCTTCGCAAGGCCTTGATCCTAATGGGTCAAGTATGAATGATAAATATATATATATATATACAAAAAAAAAAAAAAAAAGGGGGTATGGGGATAGGTTCATGGAATTTTTGGGGTATGGTGTTTGGGGAGAGGCGGGGTTGGTATTCTAATCCTCGACCCGAACATTCTAATCCTCGACCTGAACCCATCCCATTTAAAATATACATAATTTATTTTTCATATAAATATATTATTAAGATGTGTCATGGTGGTACTACCTCTATAATGATAATCATGTCCTTGAACATGTAGTTTTGACATGTATTAATTTTTTTTTTTTAATAATCTAGATTTTTAGTTAATAAAAATTGAATTAATACATATGTTGTGCTCATAGTACTTTTTTCTTATTCAACAGACTAGCTTTTATTGATTAATTTTTTTCATAATGGGGTGGGTTGGGAAACTCATTCCCCAATGAAGGTGGGGATGGGGAATTACCGATTTGAATATTACGGGATGGGAATCACCGATTTGAATATTGCAGGTATGAAGGCATGAATAGAGGAAAAATGCTTAACGAGACAGGGATTGTACTCACCTCTGATTCGACCTATCGCCACCACTCGTTGCTCGCTCTCACACCCTCAAGCCACATCATCTGTCTCCATATTCAGGTAAGATTTCACTTGATTCTTGTCTGATAGGTTCATCGTCTCACCTCCATCCTCTCACCTCCATACTCTCAGCTCTCAATTGGTGCTGCCTTATCAAATCGCAGAGCTGCTTGGGGATAATTAACTCTATGTAAGCTTTCTCGGTATCCAATTAGGGATTTTTTGTAAATTTGAAATTAGGGTTTTGTGTGAATTCAAATTGGGGTTCGGTCAAGGGTTTTCGAAATTGAAATTGTGGTTTGTCTCTCTCAGATAGCCTGAATTTGTTGGGTCCTGTGATTTCAAGTAGTGTTGTGTTTTAAATTGAATTGGGGTTTCTGTAGATGGTGAATTGTGGCGGTTTAGGGTTTATGTACATGTCAAATCTCTGTTTAATGTTTCCCAATTTACCTAGAGTATCCTGGAAAATGTTGTCACATTCACATACACTTGTTTTACTGCATAGAGTGGGTTACTTTAAATGGCTATGTTTTGCTGCATAGATTCATTTCATGTATGCATACATTTCCTTTTAAATTATTTGGTATGAAGTAGCTGATTTTAGGTTATGTTTTTGGTATGCTTGCTGGTAGTTCTGTTTTTCATTTGGTATGCTTGCTGGTAGTTCTAATTGCAATTTGTTTTATTGCCGCTGGGTATTCTGTTTTATTGATTAGTTTCTGTTGCAGAGGTCGTAGAAAGAGTGGCAGTTCTGGCTGAGATATAGAGATTCTATACTGATACATGACCAAAATATCAATTTCACCCCCTTATTTGTTTTCTTTTCTGGGTTAAGAAGTTTTTCCAATATCAACATGCAACAGGCAAATCAGAATTACAGTAGAAAATAAATTTGTCTTTACTGAGAGGCCATAAAAAATACAGGTGGATGAATTGAAGCAAGACCTGGGGGACTTGAAGAATCTATCAGAGCATGTTACCAAACAGATTGCAAAGCATGAATTTGAAAGAAAGTAATCCCAAAGGCAGAAAGGGAAATATCAATGCTATTTATTCTTGTACATTGAAGAAATACTTGTAACTCAATGCAGTGGAATTATAAAATTCAATAAATTTAAAAGATTGTTTGATTTCAAAGTATAACTGACTTTTCTTAATCTTGAGTGGTTCCTCCACTTGTGTTCTTGGACACAGTAAGCTTCTAGATTAGCAAGTTAACAGGAGACAAATAACCAATAATAAAATTGTAAAGTTTGACTAGTGGGTAATAAAATTCGAAAGTATGGTCTAGACTGACAAAATTCTGTGTAGCAAATTTGTTTCTTCAAATTACCACCTAGGTTAGCAAATGACATTTTATGTCAAAATTTGACAGGTGGTTAGAGATGGTCAAGTTCCTAACTGCTGCAAAATGTATATTCCTAACAGAAACATGAGAGTGAACATTGGCGTCTGTCTAGTGTTTGTGCAAACTCTTGAGGATGGTGAACCGCAAACTGGGATATAACTCGCTGCAATGACCCCAATTTACAGACATTGATTTCAGCAATCAATGCGTCCGACCATTACTTACAGAGAGCTAGAGGGCTGTATTTCTCTTATAATAAATGCACTTCTCAAGAGCAATTGCTAGAGCATCATTCCATCCTGAAACGTTTAGAATGTGTTTCTCTCATCCACTCGAGGCATTCTTCTGCAGTCGCTGAGGGGCGAGCAAGCTGCCATGCAAGTATCTTTTGTTGCTGCCAAGTAAAGAATACATTATTAGCATTTGAAGTTTCATAAGAGTCTTTTTGGTACTGGAATTAAAGTATATAGCTTACCCATTCTCGGACAAGTGGTCCTCCAGATTTAAGCTGCAAAACATTCATGATATCCTTTCCATTCACTAGCGGTTTTACATCCCAGATTTTATCGAGACCTGATCCACCAAAAACAGAAATCAGAAAGGACATCCGAGCTGTTTCCCAAGGTTTAAACAAATCTTAGCATAGCAATCTACTCTGGACTAAAAATACTGGTTCGGCATTGAGCACCATCACAGGATATGAAGAGAGGTGTCATTCCAAGAAATCTGTGTTGGAGTGAGTCCAGATTCTTCTCTCTTCTTCTTAATCTCCAACACCAAAGATAGTCATTCTAAAACCCACAACCACATATTACAAACTCTACTAATACATTCTCCTAAACTTAAACAACGTTTGCACAAACTTCCAGTAAGCATAGGCTAATCTAAGGCTACTCAAGGATCGAATCGAGGGTCTGCAGTTTCCTCTAGGGTACCAAGGAATCCTACGGTGAATTCTTACCTTGCCCCATCTATCTAATATCTGGTACTGCATGATATTTTCTGCCAGTAATTTAATTTCTTCGTTTCATCATTACTTCGTTATTTACTTTCACCTCAGCTTCATAATGGCATTCTAAATCATCCGTAAATTGTTATTGTTTAGAACTGCTAGTCTGTTTCAGTAGCTGTTTTATGCATTTGAAACCCCTAGGCTGTCCTACATCAAAATTCTGAAAATGAAAAACATAAAGAACATGTAACAGCTAATGACACCAAAAGATTTTCTAGTATCAAAGCATTGGTTTCACAATGAGATCCTCAGTGACAGGATGAAACTGGACCCATAGTATCAGGTAACCTGAGCAAAATAAAATAGATTGGAAAGTTGGCAGTTCGCAAAATAATTTCACAACTAACAAATATAGCAAATGCATATCATCAGAAAGGTGGGGTTAAAAGAGACTTCTGATACCTAGTTTAAGTATGGCATCTTCAGCTGCTTTAAACAAGCTTCTCCGCCTTTCGAGTTCAAAGTTCTTGTTCAAAAGATCTTCGGTACAATCGATGTTGCGGGGATATACCAACGTAGACATCAGCAAGGCAACTCGCCAAAAATCTTTGAGTTCTCGTAGAAGAAATCCTGGATGGTTGAAAATGCAAATTGAACAATAAGAACAATGTCACCTTGCATAACACGGATTCCAAAATAACCTTCACCCTGCTGATTTTCTAAGAGAAAACGGTGAGGACACAGTAAGGTAAGACCTGTCAAAACTCGGGGTTTCGAAGCAAGAGGAACATCAACAAATTCTCTTTCCCAATCAACTTCAGTGAGTAGTACGTCCTCATTTGATGCAAAATAAGAAATCAACGGCAAAAACTTCTCGAAAGCATAGTGTACATTTATAACCTGTAACAAAGAAAATCGTGAACACATTTATAATAACTGCAGATTTCAGAAGTCTTGATATAACTACCAGCTTAGTATGTCCACATAATATATGTACAATAGAGGGAGAGAAGTGGACTCAAACGTACTGTTTCAGCATCACTGACTTTTCGCTTAAGCGAGTCCCGGAAAATGTAGTTCACAACAGGAATCTGAAATTCAAGGACACAAATTTAGAATTGCAATACAAGCATGAAAATCAAGTGATGTTGACCAACTGCATAATAAATAGTATCCCAGACATGCTAATTTTCATACATATTTTCCCATGACATAAGATAACCAAACCCATACCTTCTTTGCTTTGTTATCTTTATACACAGTCTTCCTAAGTGGGAGGAACATAGCAGTATATAAAGCGAGCCTTCTTTGTTCATCCTGCATTCACATGTTAGAGGAACCGTAATTCAAAAAAACACACATGAAATAAAAAATAAAAAAGATACACAAGCAGAATTTGAATTACAACAATGATCATTCCATATCTACTAAAACAATGAAGTGAATGGAGGAAAGGCAAGAAAATTATCGTATTTCAGGTCCTCGTCACTCACATTAAAGGTAGAGTTCCCAATTAATTGAATAAGGTTCCATGTAGCATCCAAGTATGCAACACAAAGCCTACATTAGGTAAGAAAGATAATCCATTAGCATGAGAGCCAGAAAAGAAACAAATGGAGGAAGGCAAAGATAAAAATTAGAACATACGCTAGGAATTGTATCAAAAATGATGCTTCGCATAACAGTCCTCAAACATAAGATCAAAAAGTACATTGGAATTGGCACTAAAACTAGTAAACCAAGTATTTCATAAGTCAAAAAGTACATTTGACTTGCACTCAAAAGCCATAGCAAAGTGTAGAATAAATTGCGGCTGAAAGGTATAGTAGAGGAGCAAGAGTCTTTGACAGCCTAGGTGCAAACAAATGATCCTGAGCAGAGTATGTTGCCTGTTTAATTTGCATATCTAAAATGGGTACATGCCAACTAAAAATTAAAACAATTTAAATTTCACAAACTGAGCAGAGCAGGGGCTTGTCACCAGTTATCAACAACCCCAAAAACAAGACAACAAAAATAAAAGAGCACGTAAGAGAAATTGATGTAGGACACGGGTGAATTGAGTATTTAGGTAGTTTAGCGGAAGCGAAAACAATGGAAAAACAGAAAATAGGTGGTAAAAGACGCCTTAGCTTCACACCAAAAGAGTTTTGGCTTCACACCAAGGAGTCTCCAATCTCTGGAAAGTAAACTTTTCTTAATATCTCAAATCACAACTCCATAATGAATTACATAGACAGGGTATTTATAATAATCTAAAACCTAGAGACAATAGGATTAAAAAAATCCCTTCCTAAAACAGAAATTCTAACCTAAATAAAATAGGAAACTTATAAATCCTACTGAAATCTGGAAAACTTAAAAATCTTACTAAAATCTGGAAAACTTAGAGAACAAGTTAGAAACTAATCGCAAGAATAAAAAATTGCCAGATTTAAAGACCAAATTAAATTACTTCCTCTTCCATCTCTTTCTTTTGTAAACCCTAACGGGTTTGACAAAGATGTCCTCATCAGAAATAGAATAAATGTAACCCTCTGTACATTTTTAGACTCCTTATCAGACCCAATGTATCAGCCTTTCATTTTCATTGTCATTTAGCCTACCCACCAATGTATGATATAATAGAAATAGCCATGCTTGGCAAACCCCCTTTTCCTTGGGTAACGATACCTACCTGTCACATCCTTCCAATACTGCAGGCTCATACTTAGGGTGAAGACTGAAGACAACCCAAAATAACTTCAAATCACAAATGTAGGTCATAGCTTGGACAGGTTGATTTCCAGAGATCATGAGGTCAATCTGAATAGAGGAGAAAAAAGGGAAAAAAATGAACAGATAGGTCCTTTGGATATCTGGGACACAGGATAATTTTTCGCATTAAACAGCAACAACAGTGTTATCATAAATCAAATAATATTCAGAACAATCACCACTTGAGGGAAAAAAAAAAGGAATTTACTTCAGTACCGATGCGCTCTCTGCTAATTTTAGCTGAGAGAGCAGCTTTCACTTCATCACACGAAGCTGCTTCCTTTAGTTCTTCATCTAATATGAATCCAAACCTTGCTCCTGAGCACAAGAACAAATATGAATCCAAAGCTTTCATAACAAGACACTAATGAGCTATGACTAATCAGAAAAATCAGCTTTAGAGAGCTAGACTGTGCTATAAAATTAGAAAAATAGAATAAAATGACAAGTACCAAAACGGATAGCTCGAAGAACTCGTAGTGGATCATCCATAAATGTGGACTTTGGGGGTAAAGGAGTCACTATTATTCCAGATTTCAGATCTGCAATTCCTGCAGAAGACAAATGAAACATTAAAACAAATAGTAATAATTATGACTCTTGGTTAAAAGAAAAACTTCTACAAAAGAAGGCACCTAAAGAAAACTAACCTCTTTTGGTAAAGTCTTCAATTGAGCTGGTATTAATGTTGTAAAACAAGCTGTCCGACAAAATGAAACGTCCATTAAGAACTCAAGTTAATCCAATCAAATATATGAAAAGTTTGCAGCAAGAGAAGCTGATTTAATAATTACTGGATAGATTCTTAGGGACAAAACATACCTGTTAATGGTTAAATCCCTTCTGTATGCATCCTCCTCTGCTGTGCCATATTTTTGCTGTAAAATAGAAACAAAGTAACTTACTAATCATAAATTCAACAAGACTAGACTTAAATTGATTCAA